TTTTCTTTAAGGCGAAATGTTTTTCAAACTTGTCTAAGATGTCTTTTGGTACAGTGCTTTTATCATCATCTTCTTCCGTGAACTCAAAAGTTTCAAAGATTTCCCTACCTTCAGGGCCTATGATGTACTGAATAACTTTGCTTTTCTCAGCATCAGTTTTGTCTGCCATACCAACATCTAAATACAACTCTACTGTTTTCCTCCATTGTTTCCATCTTGCAGCCTTATTGCCTTCAGTGGTAAAATCCATTTCTGGTGGTTGTCTAAAATTATTGTGTGCCATAATTTACAATGAATGACTTACTTCTCAGTCGGCTTTGTTCTTTTCAAAAGGTCACAGTATCTTGTTGTGAGTTCCTTTGTTCTCTGCACTGTTGTAGCTTGATCTTGGGTGACTCTGGAAATCTCGTTTTAAAAAGATTTTCTCAGGAGTTCTTCCTCTGCAGCTCAACCTGTTGTCACTTCACTTCTCTATGTTGAGTTTCAAACAATTGTCATGCAGGAATCAGCACTTCTGACACCATGTTATGTTTAGTAATTGACAAAGACACTGTCTCTAGCTACTACTAAGAACTGCTTTATTCAACTTCAAACAAGTATCAGTAAACAAGGTTACGTAATTTGCATAATGAGGACTTCCTGTGTGTACAGGGTCAATTGCCATATGTTGATAATTAACATGCTTTGTTGCCATATGTTGATAATTAACATGCTTTCATGACAGAAACAAAGTACCGGGTTGGAGGTACCACTTTTAAAATGGGCTTGTCGCACTCTTTACATTGATGTCACACTCACAAAACCTAGATTTTTGTCTATTAAAATATATATTTTTTTCAAATTATGAGTGATTACGAAAATTGACGTTAAACTTTCGTTTTTATTGCCGTTTCGCCAATTGTCGGCCGATTCTCACATATCACCTCTCATTCTATAGCTGTCATCCCCTACTTGAGTTTTGTGGGAAAACGCAGCAAACCTCTATGGATTTAGAACACCGGGTTAAATTTGGAGGTCACGCTCGCGTTCACGGCGCTTGCCAGGATTTTCAAATGTTACAATATTTATTCTCCCATGTTTTCAAAACGGCTATTCGCAATGGGTTGCATTTTTCAGAAAATGACCATAGAGCTAGAATTCATAGTAATTTTTATTTATTTTTTGCTTTTACTTATGCTCACGTATTTTGTAGTTTTTGATGTCATTAACCAAGTGACTGAAATCCCTAATATTAGCTGTACACCACATGGAATAATGAGATTGAGAGAACTTGATGTATGTTGACTGAGCTTTATCATAGACCATCAACATCAAAGTACCAAGAGGTTTCTGCTGGCGACGTTGCGGCGTTACCCAGTTCCAAATAAAGATTACCAACGCCAAATGAGCGACATTTTTACCGGAAATCAAGATTCATTCAATCCACGGCTAACAAGCAACATCACAAGCGAAGTTGTAGCGTTCAGCTCATCAACG